ATCTCAGGAAATTGATTATTATTTCAAAATTATTCATTATCCCAAAATATATTATTTTCCCGGGTTTAAAAGTAGAAAATTGTTCCACAACGGTTAATGAGTTATTTTTTAGTAATAACTGAATTAATATCTGTGTGTATTTTTTTACGCTACTGTAAATCAATTTTTTTCGAATGCTCTACATGTCATTTCAAGAATTCCGTCGCATTCGTTCAGGAACAGTTTAATTTGAAAAAAGAATTTGGAAAAGTGTCAAGTATTCTAAAGGTACACGTTATTAAGTATTACAATAAATATTCACATTATTATGAAGAATAAAAGGAATTATAGCACGGAATCAGTACAAAAATTCCAACTCCTGCTTCCATTTCGCCCGCGAATATAAAATACGAATTTCCTTCATCCCGGTAGAGACGTTCTTTTCTTTTAATACCGATATTTCGAGTTGTAGCGTTGCCTAGCAGCAGGGTCAAAGGCAGTAGAGGGGGCGAGATCAGGGACCGTCATGAGGTGGTGGCCCGTAGACGAGGAATGTGATCGTCAGGATGCGGATTGATTAGTGATTCCGGGCGCGCCAACTGCTAAGGCATAGTCCTGTAACTAGTGCACGTTTTCAACCCAGGAGGTGGCGGTGATCTTCGCCCGCTGGCTGGCTAGATACGGTGCCGCTCTACGTCGGCTTGCAAGGATTTTCCCCAACCAGGTATCTTCCAGCAGCGGCGCACCGCCCTGACCGAGAAAAGCTCTAAGCTCCCGACTGGTCTCCCAACAAGTGTGATACTTTAGTGTATGTAAGTGATGTAAGTGTGTGTGTTAGTGTTATGTGAGGATAAGACAAGAAAGAGAAAGTAAAGATCGCGTGTGGCACGTGGCCCTTTTGTTGAGTTACTGCCCTTGTATGCGCTAGGGTGTTGATCGGAAAAACCACTGTAAACTACTGATCAGCGCAGCCGACCGTTAGAATTCTCCTCCAGACAAGTGCTGAATTCGGTCTAGCTACATAGCCCGAGTCGAAAATCCGGTCACCCGCTCAGAAGCACTGGAGTGACATCGCTTGATGCCGGTGTCATGTGCGGGAATGGATTTCAAGAGCGGGGCGACGCTGGCGGAGGAGGCAAGTGCGGGACGAGCCTGAAGGCCTGGCACTGTTGGCGACGCAGCGTGTCTGCTGATGGAGATGGATGCCGGGTCCTGAAGAAGGGGCGGAGGACGGAGAGCAGTGGAGCTGGTCGAAAGGTTGACCTCTGGCTGGCAAATTGCGTACGACGCGTCCCCAAGGTCACTGCTGCGGCCAGACAGCCCATGAATCTCGGGTAGGTGATAATGTGGGTCCTCGCGCTACTTGTGAATCGAAGACAGCACTACAAGAAGAGAAATTCATTACTTTTCCTATGCGCGCGCGTCCACGCTTACTGTGTCTACGGGTTTGAATACCTTCACATGCATTCAGTCCGCTAATAGTCCATACACATATCAATGTGGGCGTAACAAAACGCTTTTCATGTTTGAAATGAACAATAATGACAGAAACTGATGACTTTGTTGGCATATAAATGAAAGTTTGAAGAGATAATGAAGTGATAATGCATCAACGTTGCATAAACAAGCGGAAATGTGAGCAGTCGCGGTTGAAAGATGTTGATCTGCGTGTATGAGAAGACTGCAATGTTCAATTCAGAATAAAGGAAAATCATCGTACATTTAATAATTATGTCATTTATAGACTTATAAAGTTAGTAGCACCAAAAGCTAGCAATGGCTTTATTACAAGCTCATCTTTAAGATCACCCTGCTTAAAATGGTCTAACGCACCAACGTCGTTTGTGTTACATTTTCATCGTTCATATGATGCTAATTATCGAATTCTGTGCCCCAACTTGAGCAAAATATATTTATGTACACAAAAATTCAAAATATTTGTATATGATAAGGAAAATTCATAAAACTATGAGAACATTTCCGTAAATTGTATGATTGTACGAAATGACCGTTCAGTTGTCATCCTGCGAGATATTTTCAATGTAGTGGGTGTTTAGATACCAACCAATGCCCTAACTCTACCCAAATCTATCTCAAATGATTAAAAACACATTGAACATCAGACAAAAATACGAAAAAACAAGTGTAACTAAAATAAAAAAAGAGTAATTGACTTTTAGAAACCTGAGTTGCGAATGCAAAAATTACGGAAGACAATAAACAGCTGAAAAAGAGCACAAAAATGTAGGTACTGAATCAAATTCAAATGATAAATTATTAAAATCCAAATCACATATCGTACATTATTAAAATGCAAGGAAACAAAGTTTTCAAAAATTGCATTTTATTAGATGATTCTCGAATAGCCTGAAATTTGTTTATTGTTATCGGTCATAATTTTTAACTTTGTATTAATTTTTATGGAATAATGTATTTTTACGTGATGTGATATTTTTAAATGTTCATGAACATGTAATATTCAATACATCGAAAGGGAACAAGATGGTGAACAAGAAGAAATGAATTACTTAAAAAAGCACAAATATCAAAAGCATGTTCCCCGAACACTATCGGAAAGCCACCCACCGAAACCCACAAAAGGCTGAAAAAGGCAGCTCCGAGTGTCGCGGCAGCCGCGCGTCTATTTCCGCGCGACTGCGGCGCCGCGTGACGAGACGGCGGCGAAGGGCCAACAGGCGCGCGACGCTCCGACCCCCTCCCCCGAACCCCCTTCGCCAGCGCCGCATCCAGGCCACGGCCGCCCCTGCGAGCGCTCGTGCTCACACGCACGGCTTGCGCAACGACGCACGGGCACGTCTAATAACGCACGCGGCTTGTTGAGCGCCTAACGAGGAGGACACCGCGAACGATGCCCACGCACCCCAACACTCTCCGTCTCGTTCCGTTGCCGTTGGTTCCTCATGCGGTGCCTGTTAACTCTCTTTGGAACTTCTCTTCGTACCGAATACCTCACAAACGAGTCACGAAAAGCGAGCGATCTTTGCTCGCTCTTCCTTGTTATATCCTCACCCCTTACTTGCATACTCTTACACTTACACTCAATACAATGTCACACACGTTGGATACCAGTCGGGAGTTTCGAGCTTGCCTGACTGGAGCTGGAGTACCCCGTTGGTGGAAGATTCCTGGGAGAGGAAAACCCCACAATCCGCCGTGTAATTCGGCGTCAGATATAGCCACAGTAAAACATTTTCGCACTTCACTTCTGGGAATAATAATCATAGAATGTATCGCGCACAGAAATACTAGTCAATCAATCCATCCACTGGAAATGTAGACAAGTCAGGAGCGCTAGTGGTATACAACTTGACTAAACGAGGTAATGTACTATAATAATGTTCCTATGGAATATAGTTTAGTTATATAGTTATATAGTTATATAAAAAGGAAAATGGCGCTACGAATTGTATGTGCCAATAGAACAATTTCCGCAGAAGCAGCGTTGGTTCTAGCAGGACTTATGCCAATACATATTCTGGCCCAGTAAAGGAAGGCGTTACATGAAGCTAGAGAGGAAGGCACAACAAAAAAGGAGACCCAGGAACAATCATTCAGATAATCGCAGAGCACTACGTAGGAGTGGGACCATATGCCCAATGCGACATGGACACGACGTTTGATCAAACAGATCCAGCTCTGGATGACACGAAAAAATGGCCACCTAAAATACCATACAACACAGTTTCTAACAGAACACGGTAACGTAGAACTACACACCCTTAGAATTGGCAAAACTCTATATGACTTATGTCACTAGGCCTCGGCTAAAGATACAGCAGAACACACTCATTTTGTCTGATGTAGTTGGGAGAAACAAAATTTCGAACTAAATCTACAACTGGGAGAGGTCCTAACGGCAGAGAACATTATAACCAATTGCACCCCGCCATTGCTCCGCTACATCTTCCGTTCGTTATTGATATATACTACTCACGTCCACATCCTAAACCGTCCTCTACTACGACAAGTCCGTGGCCTTTTAACTCTTTTGCTTCCCGCCGTCTTTCTCTTATTCCAAATAGACCTTCCGCAATTCTGTGGACCTTTTTACCCATTCTTGACTCTTATTTGATTTAGCCGTTCATCACCTTTCACCCCTTTCACAAATGTACATGCTACATCCCAGCACCTCACCAGATTGTCCGTCCCTACCTGACACATCTTGAAACCCAACACGCTGTGTGTAATTACTACGAATCTCAATAAGAAAACCTTCCCAAAATCAGGTATATAATATTCTTTTTCCAATCAATTGTTCTCATTTTCTATTCAATGTATTTGATCAGCATTTTATATGCTTTTAAAATCTTTCTTCGAATAACAGAATTTAAATACACGGCCTTAATTTTTTTCTCAGAAACCCCTCAATATACTTCCAGTGCTTTCGATGATTCTTACATATTCCTGGAAAAGTAATGACAGAAATTAATTCACAGTACTTAATTAATCGCTAAATCACTTCCAGAAGCATTATAACGGGCCTCCGTGGCATTATCGTTTTAAATGAGGATTATACTCGTAATAGATGCTTTTTCAATTGAATATTCAATGGAGTACCTACTTAAGATATTGTTTTAAATGGAAATGAGGTCAGGCAGGATTTTTAAATATACAGAGAATTTCCAGCACTAGATTTTTTCAGAGAAAGAAATAAAGACCGGAAAACAATAAAATATTAAAATGCCGTTTATTTAATCGAGATATTTTTCACTGAAAAATTACTAAAATCAATTTAGGGTTTCAATTCGTACTGCAGAATTCGTAAAATGTTTGATATTCTTAATTTCACCTTGACATCTTCAAAGGTTTTGTATACATTATTTATTCAGACATTATAAACATTCGGCTAGTTATATTTTTGACAGAACGGTTTATCATTCGATTTTTGTTTTGTTTCTCAGATAACACTCTTTGGACAAGCTTTGGACTCGCATCTCGGCTGCGAGGGGAAGTAAATGCCATTACTCATTCAATACCGTAACTTTTCAATGCGCTGTTTCCTACTTCGCGCTTGATAACCGACTTAGTTCTGAATATTTTCTCTTCATTTCCTTAAACCCATGGTGCGCTTGCCTGAACTTCTGAACTCGGGCGGCTGCTTTCAAAATATCACACCAAAATCGCAGACTTGATCGTGTTCTGCTCAGTTCTGATGTGGAAGTTGAGCTGCGAACAATTTCATGAGTTGGGGAAACTTTGTGTGGGATGTTAAATTTTATTCTGTAAAAATGAATTTAGATCTTTGGAGATACAATAGTAACATACGTTTAGAAAAACTGTGTCCACACTTTTAATATAAAGTAAATGCATTTCGCAAATATGAAATGGAAAGTAATTAATTCATCAAACACAATTTTAGCGCACAAATGAGAGCTGATACTGAAAAAGATTTGGTTGATTGGATTGATTTTTGTGTCACATTATATTTATCGGTGTAAACTTAACATTCTCTTTGAAGTACCCCTCATTCCTGAACAGCGCTATCATTCCATTTGCTCCAAAGGTAAAACTAACTCGTTAAATTCGCATCGGGACCAACGTGGCTGTAAAAGTCCGGGGCGTTAAGTGGACACCTTGTGCATCCACGCACGCGAGCGACGACCAGGCGGCCGGCGCACGACATCGGCGTAAGGAAACGGAGCAATTGTCGCGGTGTCGAGCGCCAGGCGTGGCATTCCATTGGGGGAATTAGTTGCAAGGGCTCACGGTGAGGCGCAAGAAGCCGAGTAAATAAGCGACGAGCGGCGCCCGGCCCCCTCTCCCCAGCCCACGCGCGGCCGCGGACGGAGAGGGCCAGCGAGGGGAGCAGAGCAAGGGGCAGTGGGAGCGGAATAACTGAAGGGCTCAGTTGAACAGGAGGATATCCCACATTTTTGTCAAATTGTGTAACACAATTTCATGTCCTCTTCATTTGTTCCTCAATGTCATGAGGGGCAAACAGGGGGCATGTCCAATCGGAAAAAATTGAGTTCTGTCGCTTTTACCTAGAATTGTATTCCACAGAAAGCGTGAAAATGCATTGAATATTTCTCTATTCGTTGAGTTAAAAACGGCGTTGAATAGTATTAAATTTGAGCTCTATTTTTCGTTTTTATTGGAAAAGAGTGTACTAATAGTGCCACATTTTGAATGTTTCCTCACTAGTTATTAGCATTAAATAAAACTTCAAATATTATTATTTTAATGTAATGTATTGTTTAAATCCAGAAATGATTTATATGCTTAAGTCTGCAGTGTTTAAAAGTAGCTTATATCATAAAAGTTCAAGTACAGCCCTCAATAACTCATCACTTATCATCAATGCCAGATAAACCCTGGTTCAACTGAGCTCTTCATTTCATAAACTATACCATCAAGAAATAAAATCTACATAAAACAGTCGGGGAGTGGGAAAATATTTCATCCTCAAAGATAAGTAAATTAACCATACAAAATCGTTCCACTTTTTACGGGTTGAGAGTACCAAGAAAAGAAGGGTTTGTAAGAAGAAATATTATGTAAAATAGGAAAAACCAGAGTAACAAAGAGGTAATTTAACAGTATTCTGTTGAGGTAAACTTTAGATCATTAGAACAAAAACATTTAACATAGATAAAGCGATGATTTAAATAATTGTGTTAAAGACGCACAAAGTGTCGAAGATGACAAAGACATTGTCTTGGTTAAGATAATGATATGTTTTTGAACAAGCTTGTAGTTAAATACCAATTCAGAGAAGGAAAACAGTAAGACGGAAAAAAGTGTTACAAGACGATGGAAACTTATGTAAATTAGAAAGGCGATCTAAAATACGGAGATGGTGACTGGAGCGAAAGAGAAAAAGGAAGGCTGGAATACTACAATAGTCTGCTGTCGACGTAATGCAACCAGCGGCCATGATCTTCATCTTCAAGAGACTGAATCAACACGAGAAAATCTTTCTTATTGAGAAATTCCGTAATAAACAATGAAGGAAATACAGTTCCTTTGTTACAAAGGTAGAAATAAGCATGTCTCTTGTAAATTTGAAGTTGAAGAAAAGGAGTCCCAAGATTATTTATAGACAAAAATTTATACAAACATTTATAGAAAAAAAAGATTATTTATAGACAGACACAACTCTTCTCAATTTAGTTTTATTACAAGTCTATGTTACAATTACTCGATTGCGCAACAGTTTCGGGGACATATTTTCCCCATTCTCAAGCTAAAAAGAAAAAAGGAAGAAAATAATACAGTTTGAAAGGTTAAATTACAGTAAGCTACATTAGTACACACGTCATATTATTAAAAATCTTCTTTAGTACATTAAACATTTTTTTTCTAACCATAAAGGTTCGTTTATGTCTATTAAAGATAAACAATAAATAACATTGAGCTTAATAGTTAATACTTCGGTTAAAAACAAATATTATTACAATATTATAAACCAGCACTTACCAAACGAGTCAGGAGTTCATATCATATTACCACTAAAACACCATCCAGTACAAGCTGGTGGACCTACCATCACGGTCAGACGAAGTGTAGTGCTTAGGGTCTTTGGAAGGTGTGAACTATTGTAAGTACAGACAGGAGAGGGGAGGGGAAGGGAAGAGGGAAGGGGGGCAATTTATAAGGTGGAAGGGGAAGGAGAGGAGACAAAATGTGAAAATTGTTGATTTGCAATATCAGAAAAACAACCTAAGTTTTTAGTGCAATTCTTGCATCGGTGTAATAAAGCATCATAGATTTTGGTAAAATTGCTTTCAAAGACAGAATTGATAGAGTCATGGGTTTTAATCTGTAAGGTTTCAGATACCAGACGCGAATACCTCCGTGTTTCCACATCAAGAATTGTGGGATTTAGGAAATCAAAAGAATGGTTAAAATCGATTCGATGTTTAGAAACCGAATTTTGTCTACAAATAGACTCATTCACATTCCTATTGTGTTCCTTCATTCGCACAGAAAGATTCCTGCTGGTCTGACCTATATACACTTTTGGGCAATTGTTACAGTTAATAGAGTACACCACATTAAGTCTATCTAAAGATGGCCCATGTTCTTTAATATTCTTGATATTTTTTCGTATTTATCGCCTTAGTTATAACCGAGCAGCCATATTTCCCATTTAGAATCCGGTGAAGTTTATTATTGATTACCGGTACAAATGGTATCACTACAGATAGTTTACCACTTTCTTCCTTAGATTTGTTTGGATTATGTGATTGTATTTCTAAAAGCTTGTTTCTCCTTTTCATACATTTTTGAATAAACTTGTCGGGATAATTGTTCCGAGTAAGTATTGCTTTAACAATTTGTAAATTTTGATGGAACGTCTTGTCAGATAATTTGATAGCCCTATCAATGAGATTATACACTATCTAGTTTGGGTTTTTCTGGGGTGTAGAACCTGGGCAGCATAGGTTTCTTTCCTAAACCATTTGGTTATTAGCGAATCATTGTTTTTAATAACTGTTACATCCAGAAAATTAAGCTGTTTGTTCTGTTATTTTTCAATCGTAAATTCCAAATTCGGATGAAATTGATTAAACATCGTAAATAAACAATTTACTTCTACTCAGGTTTCTACTCTGCGCATGACAAGCTCAGAAATCAAGCAACTGAGAACTCCTCCTATCGAGGTGCCGTCTTTTTGTCTATAGATTTTTTGTCAAATTCAAAAACCGTATTAGTTAGTATAAACTTTTCCGCGATAATTATTTCCTGATTAGGGATATGACATTTTCGTAGGCTTTTCTCTAACAAATCTTCGAGTTCCTTGATAATACGTTCTCTAGGAAGTGATGGAAACATGGATTTAACGTCTAATGATAGCATCTGATCATGGGGTTCGATGTTAATTTGAACGAGATCTTCAACAAACCGAAAACTAGTTTTCACAACATATTCATAATCTTGTCGTAGTAAAGGTTTTAATATCTGATTTAAGAATTTACTTGACTTTTAAAAAAGGGAAGTAACAGAACTAATAACAAGACGCATGGGAAAATTAACTTTGTGTGCCTTCACAAAGCCATAAGCTAAACAACAATTCGGGGAGGAAGGGTATATTTCGTAATATGTTTTGTTTTCAATATATTTATGGTTCTTCCACCTTTTAACAATTTCCTGAGTATCACGTAGAACAGAATTAGAGTTATCTTTCTCAAGAATCTCATACTTGGAATCTTGATCGAAAACTTGGGTAAGTTTGTCATTATATATGGCTTTACTGATGGCCGCAACAGCCCCTCCTTTATCACATTGTATAATAAGGTCTTTATGTCTTCGTAGGAAGTTCTGTGTAGGTTGATAGTCTCTGATGATTTGTCGGTCTTTGTTATTGCCGTTATTAGAAAGAGTGAAACGCATCTGATTTCGAATGGTATCAGGAATCGACCAAACAGAATTTTCAAATTCTTTAATATATTGAAGAACGGTCGGTTTCGTTTAATTTTCTGTTAACGGAAAAACTAAAATTCGATCCAAAAGTTAAAATTATTTCAATCTCTTTAGGAATATATACTTTTGTAAAGTTGTAAACTTTTTTCCCAAACTTAATGTGACATTGTTCTTCATACCCAACGCACCTTTATAAGCTCTGTAGTTAATATAATAAAAATAAAAATAAAAATAAAAATACTTCGCCAAAATATTCTTACTTTTAGTGGCACCTAAGTGCGGTCTCGTGGCGCACTTTTAGTACCTTCTAAACGCAGACGGAACAACAACTATGTCATACCGCTCGCATTTCTTACTAAATTGGGTGCGAAGCAATAACCGATTACGTAGCAAGTACATTTCTTTCCCCGTCTCGGTTACTCGATTCTCGCATTCTTTATACATTTCTGCGAGCGTACTGTCCTTGGTTTGCAGGGGGATAAAGTCATCTGTCGAGATTTGGATTAATTTTCTTACAGGAGCATCTATCGGCATAGAATTTTCATTCTCGGCGTCGCCTACTTCTACCTGTCTCTCAGCCGAAGCAGGGGGGGGCTTTACCTCCCCTTCCTCCGCGTCGCTATTCTCGAAAAATCCTGTCTCTGACGCTTCCTCCGCCTCCTCCGCCGTGTGCTTGGCCGCGCCTGCCTCGGCGTCTGCCGCTGCCTTTGCTCGCGAGACCACAGCGCTCACACTTTGGGGCTCAATGAAGCCTTCTCGAACTGTGCGGTTGCTAAGCAAATAGTAGCCGAAATCCCAGTCGCGACTCACTTCTGCCGCTCGAGTGGTGTCACTCCCGAATGGACCTTGCAGTCTAATCTGCGCCACGGATATATTCCTCGGTTTTGAATCCAAGGGTTGAAATACCCAAGGGTTGCTTTCCCCTGTCAAATCCGAGTATTCTATGAACCGTGCATTTACTACTTCGAAACTCGCGCCAGAATCACGCACTATCCTCGCCTGTCTATTATTCTCAACTCCGTGACACATAAATGGCTGAAAACGCACCGTCGGTGCTTTCTCAGCGACGTGGCCTACTTTTTCGCCCTTCTCTGCCTCCCGCTTACTCGGGCAGTCACATGCGAGATGCTTTGGCACCCAAAACTGAAACATTTCATCACTCTGGGTTTTTCGAGTTCTTCCCTGACGTCACGGCCTTTGTATGAGGGTTTCCCGGTGACTGATACCTGCTTCTCCTCCGACCTTTTTCAGAATAAGTTTCGAGAAACGTTTCCATTCTAACCAATTGTTTTCATAGTTGAGTTTCTTCGCAAATTTAAGTGGCATTGCGAAATCTCCCCACTCATTGATGAAATGTTCCTTCATTTCAGCAGGATCTCGCCGTTTCATTTGGTCACTAACAGATTTAGCAATCGCTCGAATTGAATTGGTGCCTTATTTTATGGGGCGAGAGACGGGCCATAAATCCCGCTCTTCCGTCTGGAAACGCAAATTTTGCTACGCTCCTTTCAGCAACAAGCGGAGAAAGACGGTATTTCCTGGGGACGAAACAGGCGATTTGAATTTATCTCAGATGCGTCATTTAGGCTTTACGATCTTTTACATGAAATTAAATCTACTAACATGGGACAGCCGTCTTTTTCTTCCCCTCCGAAGGAAGGCGGACGAAGGATTTTTTCGCCCTTTAAAATCCAACGGGCTTCAACCCGCCAACTTGGGTATAACAGTCGGATACGCTAACCATTACACCATCGCCGCCGTTTTAAGCCTCGAAAGTTGATATGCTGATCCTCGCAACCCATTCCTTACAATCGTTGTGTAATTTGCGTGCATACACACTCGACGTAGTGTTCGTAGACTTCATGTGCCTTACAAATAATTGCCTAAACTTTTCAGTATTAAATTTGTACATTTCTAACAAATTAGACAACGTCTGCATAGACGATCCCGGTGCTTTCCCGTCTTCTAATGTAAGCCATGAATTGATTTGATGGGAAGAAGCCCTTTAAGATTGACAACCCAATCTTCCTCAGGCTCACCTAACAGTTTTGCTTGGCGCTCAAACACTCTTAAGTAAGTGGTGATGTCATCGTTATCTCCCTTAAATCGGTCCATAACGTGATTCAACCGTACGTGTGTTTGCCCCTTCGCTTCACATACGGAGTTTCTTTAGTACTCGCGATCTAGTCTACATTTTTCTTTAGTTTCTTCACGTTCTAATTTTTCGCTTTCTTTCATTTGTTTTTCCGTGGCCTTGTACAACGTCTTAACGAATTTCTCACCATACGGACTGCTATTTAATATAATGTTGCGGAACGTTACTATTCTGTCATCTTCGGTTGCCATTACCCCCCAATTCTCTTGCAACGTGCATAAGGCACTCTCTATCTAACTGCGAAATGAGTTAGGACCAGGCGAAGTGTTCCTCGAAGGCAAGTTCCTTTAAGGCAGATTATCGATCTGCCGGGGCACACCAGATGCCAAATCGCGAGGCGGCCTAGCTGGCCTGTCGCAGGCGCCGCCGCAAGGCGCATGTAGAGAGAGGGGGGCTGCAGTGGTAGCTCTAACAAACCGCCTTCAGAGAGTGATTTTGTATATATGTAAACTTATGTAAATAAACTTATATGTACTCACTCGAGTCTTTGTTCTTTGTGGCGTATATTCCTACCCACGACGTTACAATAGTGTAGATACTAGTGTTGTTTACATACACCGGACAGTTTTGCCGTCAATCCATTTTTGGATATAGGACTCACAAGACAGGGTTTCTGACTACACCATGTGTTAAAGGATTTTCTTAATTTTGCAACTGAACTTATC